AGAGAGAGAGAGAGAGAGAGAGAGAGAGAGAGAGAACAGATAAGTCTCCAACCTCGTGGCTGGCCTCATGCTACTTCCATCGATAGGATGAGTAAAATCGAATGAATCTACCGCTAGAACATGGAAATATACACTGCCTTACTTTTTTTTTCTTTTTTCTTTTTCTTTTTTTCTTTGTGTGTGTGTGTGTGTGTGTGTGTGTGTGTGTGTGTGTGTGTGTGTGTGCGTGCGCGCGCGCGCGTGTGTGTGTGTGTGTAGCATGTGTGTGTCACATGAGTTTCGCACGAGTACGACACGTCATACCCATGCTGCTCCAACCAGACACGTCGGCACACTGTGGGCAAGATTCAAAGCGCGAAGGGCGATTTTTCAACATGGCGGGGTAAAACCATTCGTGTGTCCATTTGTGGTGAGGGCACTTATTTAAAGGGTCGTAAAGTCAAAAGCAGCCAAATATGCGAAAGCAGTAAGACAAAGTGAGGGGGGTGGGTGGCGCCTCCTCTTTTTCAGACAGACCAGAACACACGCAATAACACCGCACAAACAAACGGAGGGAAGGGGGGAAGGCAAAGGGCAGGGAACCAACACCATAGCATGACAAACCACAACATGGCACATGAACTTAAAAGCCACGAGAGGAGGAACAAACAGTGAGGTAGCACATAGGTTGAAACGCATTGGGGAGGCACATGAACTTAGAGGCATGAGAGGAGGAACAAGCAGTGAGGCAGCACATAGGCTGAAACGTGTGGGGGAGGTGGGAGGGCATAAGTACTAGTATCGAAAAACAGCAAAGCGGCCAGAAGAATAGAAAACAGTAAAGGACAAACTGGAGGGTAGAGGGGAGGAGGGTGGGCAAACAAATAGCACAAGGCAAGAAACAAAGACCGAAGAAAAATAAATAAAAACTGATGATGATAGATTGTTTCGTCGGAGTTGCACCAACTCATTAGGAGGCTGAACCCTCAACAATCTGCGGAATCTCCGTATTTGATGGTTTGGGTCATGAACCCTTTGACCCTTGTTGAAGGCAGATTGTCCCCAAGTTGAACATAGCAGCGGTTAGCAACCCTGTGGAGCACCAGGCAACACAGTAGAGGGAACACGGCCGCACAACGCCAAAAACGACTGCAAGGAACAACATGGCACACAAGACATGCAGCACGCCAACCATGTAGTAAAGCACAAGGCAACACAAGCAGGGCAGCCACACTGCAAGGGACGACAGGGCGAGTGGACCAGCAGCTCGGCAACCGTGGAGCGGAGCACAAGGCGCCAGCACACACAAGCAGCAAACACGGAAGGCATGGCCAGCGGATGAGCAACACGGCAGCGAAGCAATGAAGCGCAAGGCAACACGAACAACACGACCACACCACACAGCGAACACAACAATTCGCAGAGAGTCGCACGCAAAGCAAGCGGGACAGGCAGCAAGGCAGTGGCAGAGCACGGACGAAGACATTCACATATCCAACACGGAGCAAAGCAGCACATGACCTACTCACATCACGGTTGAAACCCGCAGACTGTTAGTTCCCACCACCCACTGAGCCAGGGAGTCACTCCGACAAACATCCACCATCACCAACAGGCAATATAGACATCCCGAACCGAACAACCCCCATAAGAGTGTAGTAGGCACTCCAAATGAGGAACCACCGACTGTTTGGCACTACTTAAGGATGCTCAGTTGGGTATACAAAAAATACATAGAAAAAATCAAGGAAAAATCAAGGGGAGGTCATACAACAAAAGAAAAATTAACAGATATAAAACTGATTGTGTGTGTGTGTCTGTGTGTGTGTGTGTGTGTGAGAGAGAAAGAGAGAGAGAGAGAGACACACACACACACAGAGAGAGAGAGAGAGAGAGAGAGAGAGAGAGAGAGGKGGAAAAAGGGGAGGAACACTTACCTTCGCCAACGTACGCCATGGACGTCCAAGGTGGCAGCGGGTCGTAGTAGCTGAAGAATGCACTACACGGAGGATTGCAGCAACGGACACGACATAGAGTGCAACCCTTTTTTTTGGCACGGCGGCCTGCAAAAGTATGGGGTTTGAATTCAAATTCTTAGCACCTCCCTACTGGAGGGCATCATAGGAAGATGTATCTCCCACAGAAGGGCAAATCGGACAAGCAGCAGGGGAAATAGGACCGCCGGTCGGTTAGGGGCATTCCAAAAAGTTGTGACCCTTACTTACAGAGGCCTGCACGAAAGTTCAGAGGCCCAAGGGCAAATCAGGGTAAGTGGGCCGTCGGAGGGCAAATCGTAAATAAACGCAAACTTTCAGGGGCATTTCAAATTTTTTCCGTTTCCTCCCCCCCCCCCCCCCTCGGAAGCGAGGTTTTCTCGGAATGGTGTTATTCTAGGCATCTGCTCCGGATTTGAACCTGAGTCTGTCTTCCAACAGTTCGTGGGTGTACCAAGTGAGGTAGAAGCAAGGCTTCCTCGACGAGGAGGAGCCCAAGCAAGGTTTTCTCGGAATGGTGTTATACTGGGTATCTGATATGGATTTGAACCTGAGTCTGTCTTTCAACAGTTCGTGGGTGTACCAACTGAGGTAGAAGCAAGGCTTCCTCAACGCGGAGGAGCCCATTTGCTATTTATTTATCCCCTTGGCAGCTCTAAAGTTGTAGTATACTAAGGGGTTCTATGTCTGTGTCAAGGCGGCGCGAATTTTGCGGTAGGCAACCGCCCAGAAAGAGCTAAACCAGGCGTGGATTTTTTATTATTATTAATATTATTTTTTTTTATACAAAAGACTCCAATCTATTGGTGGGGAGCGACACCTACTGGAAAACGGGTCCAGCGTCCCCATTATACATCACCAAAATGGAGCTTGACTGTGTCGACCTACCAGCTTTGATTGCCCATGTACAATGACTGGTCCTCTGCATTGTTGTGGAGGATCGACACGTAATTGATGGTAGTATGGTACCTTTACGGACCAGTTTCTGGTTTCACATGGGCCTCAATTGTTGGGTTTTCAGAGGGACGGTCAGGGACGACTATTCCGTAGCATATAACGGGCGTCGAAAATGTTTGGCGCTTGCACCAAATTCGCCACAGTACCGGTTTTCATTTGTGAAGAGACACATATGGAAAGGGGACATCTCTCTCT